TTGAAACATGGTATTATTATGTATTACTACAAGCAGGGAAAATAGAAAGTTCGCCTTTTAAGATCATTAAAGAAAACATATTCCGTCGATGGGAGAAATGTATATCTTTAGATCTTGAGGAGCGGAATTGGAGATGATATAACATGAGTTTCCCATAGCAATCACAGTATTTAAGAACGGGGAAGAATTGCTCTGCTGCTGCAAACTACTGAAACTTACCAAAATTGGTATTTCCTTGTCTACCTTTGTAAGTATTGTATCAACAACATTAAAATAAGATGTCTGAGAGTTTCTGCGGTAATTAGTAGTGTCTGTAGATAACCCACTTAACGGCATAAGTTGGATGTCTAAATGCATCTCAAATACTCATCGTATTAAATGGGGAGGGGATGGCAAAAACTCTATTCAGTATCTCCTCAAATGCTTCAGTGAATGATCATTTCTCTGGGCGCAAAACTTTTTTTGGCTAATTTCTCACCACACTGCATCATTCTCCGGACCATACTACCCCGGTAGCAATAGGAATTTCCAGCATCCCTGAATCGACCAAAAGGTCTTTTCACTCTACATTCCCTCGCCTCTGACCATCTATTCTATTTTGCCTACGGGACCTGTCTGCATCTTTCCTCGTATGCCCCCTGCCTCGGCCAAGGCCCAACCTCTCTCCCCTTAACCCTCTTGCCTCGATGGCACCTGTGCACCACTTACCTCGGATCCTCACCCTCGTTTGAGACCAATGAAAAAAATTTTTCCGGTGCATTGTCCATCCAACTGGCATCAATCCCGGGCTAGTGGTTTATGCCCGTATATCTAGGCAACAAGTTGTCAGAGGCAGCTGCACCACGGAGGGGCTGGAGCTCAAGACAGCGCGAAGATGCTATTCTCTTCCTAAAACGTGCGTTTTCCGGATTCTGGCTGTGAGAACCGTTTCAGTTGGGGGAGCCCCCATCCAAGGTCCCCAGGAAACACCAACTAGTAAAGTATGTTTGCCTGGGGAGTTGTAAACATGCTCAACCTCAATAGGGAGGAAAAACCCATCTCTCGTTGTGTGCGAGATAAGAAAGAAGCATTTCCCTCTTTTGGAAATAAAAATGGGGTAGGATTTTTGGGTCCAGAAATCTTGGTGGCGCCAAATCATTTTGAACGGTGGGGTTAAAGTAGCAGTCGGCTCGGCCACGACCGCAGGGTTGACCGGCAAATCCATTTGGAGGGGTTGGGAGGGTAAGCGAATCCCCTGCCGGCCACAGACCAGGCAGGTGGATGGACAAACTAATAGTATTGATGGTGGGGGCACAAAGTTAGCCCGGCCCCGACCAAACGGGTGGCTGATTATTGCTTAATCAATATATACAAAATTCATTCATTTCACATTTAATTGCAGTTGATCACTTATTATATTTGAAGTCCATTTTAGGTCAATGTCTCTTTTTCTTTACCAACAACAAATTTAACATTTGATCATATAATGATGCATATCGGGAAAGTTGTTAGATATTAAAAAATCAACTAGTTTTATGTTTTGTTTAGTTATTCTTTAATTTCTTGGAATTTTGTCAAATAAGGTATTGTGTATAAGTTTTCAACATAATCAGGATATCATGTTTTAATAGTAAAGTAGTTTAGCTACAATAATAACAATTATGCTTTTCTACAATAACAATTGTGTCCTGGCTTCTAATTCTTCCTACCATAAGAGATTCAAATATATAAATATTGTTTGTGAAATTTGTTTAAAAGCAACTCTTCGCTCTCATTCATATTTGAACTGGATAAAGGTCATTCTTCCTAGTGCTTTCAATATTTTTACTAACAAGTCAAAACTCATCAACATATATACTTCAACTTTGGATGATATTAAAATTAAATATAATTAAATATTATAGATACTATATATAATTATTTATTTATTATTTAGATATTATATATAATAAGTTATTCAATTTCTTCTGAATATTACAAATATTTATCAATCAATTATTTAGTTTTCTTTTTTACTTAACATTGCTATTATTATATACATATCTCCCTCTTTTGTAAATTATACACTTAATGATTTAATAGCATTTTTTTTGTCTTTGTATTTATAACAGTGATTCAAAATTTTCTATTTTTTTTAAAGATTCAATATAAACATTTTCATTAACGTTCTTTGGACAATGATGATCTGATATATCTTAATATAATTATCCACTCTTTAAACGTTTATTCTCCAATTCCAAAAACAAATTGGAAGGAATAACATTAATATTAGTCTAACATAAAGGATCATATAAAGGATCACAAATGAATTTTGTTTAAAAAGTATAAGGACCATGTTCAGTAAAAAAAATTTAAACCAAAACTACTATTACGCCTACATTTACTTAAATAAATTATTTTATATTTTTTTCATTAACAAACTTCCGACCAAACAACTATAGGCTTTTTACCACATCTTAAGCTTTTATCAAATAAAATATCAAATTAGCAATTCTAATACATGTCATGCTTTAGAAACCAACACCAAGGTAAATTTAATAATAATATAGTATTCCTATTATGTTGCAAATTTAAAACATAAAAGTATATTGCAAAATATCTAATTTAGTAAAGTTCCAAAATATATTTTAGTTTCACTTTATTTGTACCTAAATTTAAAAATTATTTTCGAAGTATTCAAGTATGTTATTCTCACAAGTCAAACCAAAAGCACTTAGTACATTGCTAATTGAAATCTCCACTATATAAGAATCTAAATTCAATCTACTATTGAACCAATGATATAACTATATACTAAACAAAATATACCTACCTACACTAGTAAAAAATCGGGTTTTTACAGCGCACATTATGCCACGGTTCAACGAAAACCGCAGCATAATGGTGCGCGGTGGCAGTTTTGTAAATAAAACGAACATATATGCCGCGGTTCCCAGTAGAACCGCGGCATATACCCCAGTCAAACTTTGCCTTTGACGCCACGTATGAATAAAAAATTAAATAACAGAGTATATGCCGCGGTTCTCTGCACAACCGCGGCATATACCCTGCCAATTTATTGCAGGTGCTGACTGGGTCAGTGAATTTGAAAAGTTACAGGGGGTATATGCCGCGGTTCCCTGGGGAACCGCGGCATATACCCCCTGTAACGTCTTAACTTCTCTGCTAGTCAGAGAATTTCAGAAGTTACAGGGGGTATATGCCGCGGTTCCCCAGAGAACCGCGGCATATACCCCCTGTAACTTCTGAAATTCTCTGAAAGGCAGTTGGGGAGACAGTTGTGCTGAACACGTTTCAGGGGTATATGCCGCGGTTCCCCAGGGAACCGCGGCATATTCGCCTATATGAAATTAATTTAATATTTATTTGAAATATTTCGAGGTATATGCCGCGGTTGCCCGCTGAACCGCGGCATATAGTTTGAAAATAATTTCAAAAATGCCATTTCTGATAATTTTTTAAATTAGTATATGCCGCGGTTGGGGGTTAAACCGCGGCATATAACCCTTTTATACCGCGGTTAAGTAGTGAACCGCGGTAGATTCCCCTGTTCAGAGTTAAAAAACAAAACTTGGAACAGTGCATCGTCTTCCTCGCGCGTTCTCTCTGTTTTCGCGTTTCTTCTTCCTCCGAACCACCCTTCATCTCAGATTTTGCATTTTTAACCGTTTAAACTCAAAATTGTTCGGTCATTATTCGTTTTTGACGATAAAAACGAGTTTTAGCCGATCAAAATCGTGATTTCCTTGCGTTTTTCACCCTCTCCGCCGCCGCCGCCGTTGTGTTGCGTTTTTCACCCTCTCCGCCGCCGTTCCTCTTCCAGGTATTTATGTCCATTTGCATTTTTAACGTGATTTTTTCATTAATTTTTGCATAATGCTATAGTTTTGGTAATGTATGAAGTTTCTATAGTTTTGGTAATGTATTATGGTATAATTTTTGCTTTAATTTTGATAGTGCATGAAATTGTTATAGTTTATTAATTGTTTGATTGTATGATTGAATTGATTGTATGTTGAATATATTGTATAATTGTATGATTGTAATTTTGTAGAATATTTACGTATGGATCGAAATTGGATTAATTTACCACGCATTAGTGTTGAGTACGAGAGAGGGGTAGAGGAATTTATACAATTTGCGCAACGTAATGAGGGGAGAACTGATAATGAAGTGAAATTTAGATGTCCTTGTGTGAACTGTTTGAATGGGAGAAAGTTGAACGCAACTCAAATTAGAGAACATCTTATATGTGATGGTTTTCTAAGATGCTATACAACATGGATCTGGCACGGCGAAGAAATGGATTTTCCCACTGACTCTCAAAGTGTAAATGTTACTGATTCCACCATGGAAGAAGATCGACCGGATGAAGACAAATTGGAGGACATGATCCGCGATGTTGGAGCAGAAAATTTTGCCAAAGCTCATGTGTATGAGACGATGTCGACTGATGCAGAAACACCTTTGTATGTCGGTTCAACTAAGTTCACACGTTTGTCAGCGGTGTTAAGGCTCATGAATTTGAAGGCGAGCAATGGATGGACTGATAAGAGTTTTACAGAACTGTTGACGTTGTTGAATGAAATGTTGCCAGATGGAAATACACTGCCCACTCGTAATTATGATGCGAAGAAAATTCTTTGTCCAATGGGTATGGAGTATAAAAGGATACATGCTTGTCCCAATGACTGCATTTTGTATAGGAAAGAGTTTGAATTTTTGACAAAGTGTCCAAAATGTGGCTTATCAC